AATTGTTTATGAAGAAGAATTCTTCATGTTTGAGAAAAAACCTACTCTACTTATGAGACAAGCTAATAATTCTTGCAGATCTCTAGGGCTAATTAGAAAGCAAACAATTGGCGCTTCCCAAGAAAAGATCAAGATTTTTTCAAATGACCACTCTTTTGAAAAAATGTCTCGTTTTATTCCTTTAATTTCTCGATGTTTGAAATCAAAAATACACGCGAATCCCGCAATTTCGCGTTATTTCCGTGAATTCGTTTAATTCGGTCTAAAATTAGGCTCCCCAAAATTCAAAAATGCCGTTGAACTCAGCTCCTTGAGCTCTATAAGAATATGCTTTCAAATTTTGAAAAAGCTCAGTATAGAATTGCGTCATGCACTCGAGTTTCACTTCGAGAAGTATGTAACTGATTAGATGTGGTGCGTACATGATCACATGAGTTAAGCATGACCGTTATATAGAAAGATGGGCTTCAAGACCTGCCCCAGGATGCGCCACGTACTCGACTTGGTCTATTACATGACCAGATAAGTTGAATTTTTTTTGAAGTTTCCAGGATTTCTATTTCATTTCAGAGCTCTTAGCGGTGAGAAGTGGAGTCTCTGAGATCAATTACTGGATTCATTGGATTCATTAATTATGGATTCGCGTGGGATTTTGATTTCAAACGGCGAGTACTGTAGCTTTCCAGGCCATTCTCCTGATACGCGAATTTGCAACCTTCAAATGGCCAAAAGTTTCTTCAATCTCCGACAATGAGAAACGTAAAAACCATTGAAGTTAGCAAGATCACTACTTCACAGAAACCATTCTTCAAGAAATCTTTCTCCTGCCACAATTTTCGTTTAGGAATCTAGAAGTCACCGCCAGATCCGTTGCAGCTTCCTCAAATTTGGTTTCTCCGGAAGAATTTTCCGCTTGTTCTACAGGGACATGACGTATTCTAGTCATGTGCCATTCACTCGTCTGTAGTGCGCCGTCGCAGTGTAGTTGGAAGTGTGTTCTCCTTCGCCACTTACAATTAGCCAAGCCTTGGCATATTCATATTTTGTGATCGTTACAGGAGCGACGACCCCCCCCTCCAGTTGACTACATTTGACCCCTTCGTTGTTCTTTGCGCAATAGGCGGTTGACCCCACCTCGTCTCCTCGCCGCAATAAAATTACACACGTTCGAATGCTCAATTGGTAACATGTTTCGTGCACTTCTCTAAACTCCACAACACGTGTTTTTTTTTGAATTTTGAAATAAGAAACTCCAGAATGACCACCTGGTCTCAGCCGTTAGCTTCATAATATGAGACCTTGCGATGCTTCTACTTTTCCCATGTGAGTCAATATAAATGTTGTGCATCTCATGTCATTTGAGTGGTTGAAATGAAGGCGTTTTAGTCCTACTTTAGGGATGCTATTTCTGCTGTTGCGTAGGCGCTATATTATACTGTGGCATGTGTATGTAATAGTATCCGTTGGGATATCAGTGGTTATTATTTCAGGACTTTGTGATGAAAGTTGTCTTTTCAGGCAGCCACAGTTTTCAAGCCTTTCACATGTTCTCACCTTAATTTGCGCTTTTCCTCCAATTGCATATGTTATTTTTACTGCAGATGCAAAATGATAAAAATACTCCGGAGGCAATTCTAAGCTGGGATGAACATACAACAACATGAGGCAGCTGAGGCAAAGAAAAATGCTGTTCATATTAATGTAATATGTTTTACAATGTAATGAAATTGAATTAATCAAACGTTCATCTCAAAAGAAGGAGGCGTGCAGAAACACAAGGTGTCACAAACGAGTTACTAAGAAGGCTACTAGGCAACAATAGAAGCAAAAAAGCCATTCAGAACAGGTGCTAACGCAATAGTTACAGTACTAGAAGTAGCCTCAATTTGAGCTTTTGCAAGAATTAGCTCTTGGCGAAGGCGGCTTCATCGATAAGGTCCTGTAGTTCACATGTGGCTATTGCACATGTTTGAGCCCTCTCACCAATCATCCCATCGCGTTTCCTAAATCGTGAATTTATATTATCTGCACATGAATTCGCATAGCTGAAGCAGTTGATACCATAGTGCAAAGCGTTCGCACTGATCAGCTTATGAACAACACACTTTCTGACTAGAAACGTATACGGAAAAGACACAAACTGCTAGTATCATCAATGACCAGTACCTTCTTCAGCATTTTAGCCGTCGCGGCAAAAGCGAGACAACAGAAGTTTTTCGCAAAGTTCTCAGCCGGTTCTAAGGAAATACCGCACAGCTAAATCTAGACAAATTACGATTCATTTTGGTAGCATTCAACAAAACGAAAACTCGATAATCTTACATTTGCAAGATGCAGGATGCCACGTCCATCTGGATTTGCAGCAAACAATGCCAACCTTTCAATCAATGCAATCAGGATATTTTCAACATTAATTTACTGAAAACTTGCAGTTTTGATATCAATCGATGTACTTGGGATGGAGAGAAAGTCCTGAGCCGATTTTTGGAAAGCTCCAGTTCGCTTATTGACCGATACCAGAATCTGCTACGTGATAGATTATGGCTGTCAATCATACTTCTCCGCAGTAGTTATATATAGCCGGGTTGCCTTTTTTCAACTTTGAACATGATGTCTATTCCACAACAGCACTTACCAATCTCATCTTCAATGAATAGCGTTGCGGCAGAGCCCGTAGCCTAGTTCTAAGCTTACAGAATTCAAGCTCTTTCCGCTGTTGCACAACCCCATCTCGGACTCCAAGTTAAACTAGCTGAGCTACGAAATTGTGCTTCAAACATTTTGCGCATTAACCCTTTGACGAAAACGCGGATTTCCACGTAGCTTGCTCATTGGACCACACCTCCTTTGGGCGCCAACTCTCGCTCACAACTGTGCACACTTGTGCCTCAATCAGCTTTTCTATAGAATATTGACTTTACCAGCATACCAGATATAACTGCAGTTCAAGGCTTTCATACTGTATAATGTTTTCACAAGAATTCCAAATTGGGAAGGGGCACTTGGGTTTCAAAAGGGAGGAGGGCAAAATCTTAAAAGTTTATTTCTCCAAGGGAACTTCCGATACCCTTCAAACCCCTTCCCATATCTGAGTGCCGTGAGAAGACGAAGGAGTCTTGATTAGTAATTAATCTTCAGCCTAGTAATGCAAAATCCCAATTAATATGCTAAACGGGAAACTCTGAAATTCTATATGAAGTACTAGCTATTTATAAGCATTTCTGCAAGCAATGCCAGTCATAGATATTATGGAGCTTGGTTATAATTATTAAGGTGTTTAAATGTTTTATATGCGCAAAGAATGAAATTTCAAGGTAACACCCACCATTGGGTGCCATTGTCCCATGCGGCGACCATAGTGGCACCCACCGGTGGGTGCCAGTGGTCAAAGGGTTAACCTACATACTGCCTGCCAACTATCACCTTTCTAACCACCTGGGAGGTCTACTCAGAGAGATTAACCACTGAAACAAAACATGGTGGTGAAGCGACCTTCGCCAAGTTCTTTGCTTACAGAACTCCAGCATTTATAACATCCGGATCAGTTAACCCATTTATTGTAAGCAAAAGTGCCGGGATTGAAATATTATCGCATCAGAAATCAGATCGGCAAAGCTACTTCGACAGTAATCCATTTATATTCGTGATTGTCGCCCGCAAGGGCTCTACTTCTCGTACTTCAGAGGCAAAAAAGAAACGTGGGAGAAAAGTTCAAAGAATGCTGTTCTAAAGGCTCGAATAGCTCGCTGAACCCGCCCAACAATCGATTTTCTAAATCTTCGCCTGTTTCTCTAATGGCCCAGCAATAACAAGAAATTAAATGCTTAGCCATAGAAGTAAACTCGCACCTTTTAAAGACTTTGTGGGCTTCAGAAGCCGACGGCTTCTTGCCAAAAGGCCTCGAAGCCACACACAAGGTAATTTTGGCAATGATTTCAAAAGAATTCTACCGCACATCTAACGTAAGTCGATTGGTGCTTTTGTTTGACGATGCGCCCTGGACGGTTCTGGTCCATGGAGAGTGTTTCAAAGCTAGAAATCATGCAGGCGGTAGGTAGCACTAATCTTCGACTTTCCAGGCTCTGAAGGCGACCAGCCAGAACATTAGCCGAATAAAATTTGATTCATGCTGCCATCAGCCAGCTGATTCAAGAACCATCCTACTCTTATATGTATATATGATCGGCTATGTGCGTCTGTCATTGTATGTGTGAGTGTGTATGTTTGTCCTAAAATCCATACCAGGGGGGGCAGCGTCGCTAGATGTTAGTTCCTATATGATATAGAGGTTGGGACGGGAACTTTGGTGGGGGACAGAAAATGACATCAACTGATAAGGGCTGATAAGAGCAATTGGCTCTCTAGAGAAGTCATTAAACATGCGGCTCGAGCTTGACACCTTGATTATTTTAAAGCCATTTGTGTCAAACTATTGAACTTTGAGCAACTAATTCTGGCGCACCCTGAAGCACCAATTTGGCGCTCTTCGCGCACCATACATTCTTCATCAATTTTGCAGTTTTGCAAAATCTGCTTAAGAAGGTTATAAAGGTCCCTAACGCGGTGTACCCTAGGCAGAATACTCGAATTGAACGGCGCGAACTGCGGTCGGACGAACCCGTCAGAATACTAGTCACCTCAGATGACTGCTACGGAATCTTTATTGATAAGTACAGTGAATACTATGCAGAAATAGGTGAAGACAATCCAGTCGATGATGAACCGATCCACTGTCAGACGAAGTACGGGAGCACGACCAGTCCGTACGAACATTCCAAGAGACAAAAGCCTCAATTCCGTGAGCGGCTGCCTTTTATCCCTCGCGCTGGAATTCTGTGCATGCTCGCAGCTTGGCTAAAAGAAACAATCTGCCATATCTTGTAATCTGAAGCACTACCGGAACCAAAACTTTACAATAAAGGAAGGCATTACTTTTGGTCGAAGGCATTACTTTTGGTCGACTATCGTCGACACTCCGGCCCCAGCTTACCGGAATGACGTCATTGTCTGACCGTCCTTTCTTCCATGCTCTTCAGCCGCCAAAGTTCTCGCTCTGTTTCCTTCATGCGTGCATACGCCACCATTTTTTTGTCAGGAACATTGCAAACGGCACGATGGTGGAAGCCTCCATCACTTCGACGCAAATCTTCGAAAACTGTAAAACTTAATCGATAGCAATAAAAACACTCCCTCTTACGGTATCTACATGGGTGACCTTTTGGAGCTTCGAGACAGTGGACACACCATTTCTTCCTGTCAATGATATTGTAACGCGTGTCGCCGTTCCGAACGAAAGGGCAGGCATCGGAAAAATGAACTCCCCGTGCCCCACAGAAAGCGCAAGTTCTTTTGCGAGATATTCCCTGCGACTTATCCCTTCGATCTCGGAATGGGAAGCGGTTGAGGTGAACGCGCATCTGTAATAACTTTTCCTCGACCTCTCTCACGGTACTGTGAATACTAGGCACCAGAAACTCGACCTTACGATTCTCATTCGCCGATTCTTTCCTTGGTAGATCACAGTTACTCGTTTCGTCCTCATTGCTCGTTTCCTCAGTTACTTCGCTGACCATTCTGTCCCAATAGCAGTCATCATTGTCGAGATTGTTCGGCCTTCCTTCGTCGTCGAATTCCCCTATGTCACCTTCTTCATTTCCGAGCTCCGGCTCACTATCCTCTTGCTCATCGTTGAAACCTTGGGTCGTCTTCGCTCGGTTAGTTTCTTGGAGGAGCATCATCACAGATTGTTGTTCATCCACCTTTCTTCTGAGAGCGTCTAATTCCGTACGAGAAGTAAGCTGACCCTTCAAACCCTCGATTTCCTTCTGAACAATTCGCTGCACATGCATACTCGTTAAAGGATCCCTTTCTTTCATTTCTCGCTCCTGACGTTCCATCATGGCCTTCATGTCGGTGATCTCTATGTCGAGAATGTCACGCTGGGTTATGATCAAATCCCGAATAGCCTCTGGTCCAAAAGCGTAGTCTCGTTTGCGTGCGATGAAGTCTTGTCTTCCGAAACTCGATGCTTCACCCCACTCCGTAATATACTCGTAGAGAAAGTCCATGATCAGGTAACGGGTTCCCATGCGAAGGATCTTTTCCTTCGTCACCTCCGCCTCACGCAAGCAGTGAGTTGTGAACGAAAACTGCTCTCCTGCCGACGCGCAGATGAAGGTATGCTCGTTCTTGTGATGATTCCATTGAGTGACCAAGGTACTTGCAATTTTCTTCTGCCGCTGTAGAGAAATCGCTGCCATTTCGAGTTCCATTTGGATTTGCTGTTGGTCCAAAACTCGTGTGATCGCCAAATCAATGACCAGTTTAATGTCGCCGTCTTCTTCTCTACTCGCCATCCTGAAAATGGTGGAGATCCCTGTTATAAGTTTTTTGTTTCTAACTAATTTCAGAACTAAAGAACTCGTATTTATGGATCTAGCGTTGAGGTTTCCTAGGCGTTCACAGCGGTAATTTCCCAAATCAATGCGTTTCTTTGCGGATGCATCGCACCAAGGCTCCTGCGATAGCAAAAAGCATGCGAAAAAACACGCGAAAAAACTGCCAGTAGAGTCGAAAAAACTGGCGCATCATGAACACAATGCAGCGTGCCCCACATGTGGAAATGAATAGATAAGTGAGGCCAACGGCAATTAAAGCGATAGTCATTGCCAGTATTAAGGATTTGTACCAGTGCATAAACACGTCTCCGATGTGACCAAAATCGGGCCATTCCATTTCCCCCGCGGTATTACTCGTTCCTTTGACCCAGTAGTTTGCCATCGCTTGAGCTGTTTGGGTGAACTTTAGAATGCCACTAAGCTCAAATTTTGTTATCTCCGAACCACACGAAACCGAACACGTCATATGCACTCTAGCCTGGGAAAAACTGAATAGCAGGGAAGATTGTTGCCCTCTTTCGTTACACTTGATAGTGAAACTCGTTTGGTCACAAATGATTTCCGCAAGCGTTGGTTTAGATGACCTACATGTCACTTGTGCTACAGCTCCCTTCGAACACTTATAACAACCAATCAATAACGCGTTATCGACTCGACATTTCGTGTCTTCGATCGAGAGCTCAGTTTCAAGGTCTTCATCAACTGTTAGTATGATCTCTGATGTCGTCATAGTCGGGATGCGGGCTTCTACGTTCCCCACTCGATTCCTGAAGAATGTCAGGGAAGGTGTCTTAACAGGTAGTGTGTTCTGCAAGTTTTGAAACCAGCTTGAGATCCTGACTTCTTTGCAATTGCAGTTCATTTTCGTTTCTGCTGAACTACATATGCAATCTTCTATTACCTCACACTGAAGAGTTTCAGCTGATTCTCGAGTAGGACACTGTAGTGGGGGCACCAAACGCGAATCCCACAACGCAGTACCTATCCCATCCGTGATAAAGGGATTATTCAAAGTCGGGAGAGGGGGAACTGTTATCGAACTTAAGGTAAAAGAGTAAGACATCCATTTTAACGGAACGTTGGGCCGTAGGAGAGCCACGTAAGATTTGGTTTTCTGGGACAACACGTCCGTATGTCTTACTCTGAGTTTCACCGCCTCGTTCCATCTTGTGCATCTGAAGATCTCGAAAATTTGGGTTGTATTTGGCTTAAGATACACGCGGTAAAATAAGCAACCTGAACCCCACCAGAAGCAGTCACAGCCAAACCCTCCGCAAGACTCGACACATGAGGTAACTCCGGGATATTGATTTCCTTCGCTCAACTCGTCGATCAGTGAAGATCTATTGATCGCTGCACATTTGTCATCTCTGCACGAGCCTAGGTGGGGGCATCTTTTACTGTCAATCACGTGGTATGTTGTGTCGCGGGTAAAGAGCATAGTCTGGGGTTCGCATGAAAGAAGTAGTGAATCCCATGTAACTCGTATTTCGCGTACTACCGTGAAGTTGTTTCGTAACTTGAGACACGCGTCTTTTTTGAACGGATTGATCTTTAACACCTCTGAAACGCGAACTTTACAAGTTTTCTTTCCCTCCGAACACTCCGTCATATGGTGTGAAAACACATTAACTTCTTGGCACGCTTTGATAGAAAGAAATAGGGCCAAGATCGTGAAAACCGCTAGTAGTTGGGCCAAATCCATTCTTCTCTGTCTTCTTTCTCTAGCATTACTCGTAAAAAGTACTCGAAAAATGGCGCGTACTCCCGCCCAAATCAAACTCGCTAAAACTCGTACCGGTCGTCCAATTACCAGCGGGAGGTAAAGGGAGACATAGCATCCCATAAGTACCAAGTAAAGGAAGATAGCACTAATTATTATTGCCCCTACGGGCCAGCATTCCGGATTGAATAGTATCGCTGCGCATAGGGTGCAATCTATATTTTCGCAGAATGGCGCCGCAGGGCACGTAATTTCTAGCGTATGTATAGTGCCATTTTCTTCAAATTTCCATTGTACCACATGGTCATGAAGAACTACGTGCGGTGGGAATCGGATTGTTTCGTCCACTCGTGAGTTATCAATGGCCAAGCAGATCTCTTCTGCGCACAGTTCATGACGCTTGTGGTTGGATGAAAGTAACTGTACTCCCCCTGGGACACACCGCAGTTGTTCTCTGCTTCTAGGGCTGCTCCCAGCTATGTCCGCCGTCATCCCCTGTGAAAAACAAAGGATCATGAGCATACTCAGAATTGAGGTCAGTTTGATAGGCAGAGACCTTGCTGATGCTAAGCCCACAAAATTTTCGGAATAATTTACGCGTTGTCGGGGGCGGAAATCGTAACGCGGAGACGTTTCTTCGGAAAGGGTGTGTTCACTTTGTGGGTCCTCCAACACCCCTTCATCCTTAGTTTCCTTTCCTGAGTCGCCTACCTTTTCGGACTCATTGTGGTCAAACTCGTCGTCAATTTCTAAGGGCACTAACAAATTCAACGGTCTCCGAATCTTACGATGAGATGGAAGTGACACGACTGCTTCTCGAACGATTCCTTCGGTGTTGGGAACTAGAGTTTCGATACGCCCCATTTTCCAGGAATGTCGCGGTTGAAGCGCGTCGCATATAAGGACTATTTTTCCTACTTTCGGTACGTAACTGCTTCCTCGTTGTTTACCGACCTCTCGTTGATGACGTTCCCGTAAGGATGTTAGGTACTCGGTTTGCCATCTGTGCCAAAACTTTTCTGGCATTTCGCATGAGCTTTTCAACGCTTCCATCGCTTGCACTTTCGATTGCAGTGTCACTCGTTCTTCGCTGGGAACGTAGGTTGAGTCATCATTGATTTCTGCGCTCGCAATCAAAGGGAACGGAATCTCGAAACTACTCTGCAAGAAATCGATAGGTCTTAGAGGGTTATTTTCCCTTGGCCCTGACTCAGTGTAAACCAGGGGTCTAGTATTCAGCATGGCTTCAATTTCCATGAGAACGGTAGATATTTCCTCCGCAGAAAGGGTAGCCCTTCCTTGAAATTTGTATAGGGCCAATTTCACCGATCTTATCAAGCGTTCGTAGACTCCCCCTTGCCAAGGGGCAAAGGGGGTTATGTAGTTCCACTGAATTTCGTTGTCACTTATCAGTGATGCAATTTCTGGATCGGTTCGCGCGAGTCTGTGGTATTCCTTTAGAACGGTATCCCCGAGCGTAAAGGTCGGGGCATTATCACTCGTTATGGATGATGGTATACCCCTCCTTGCAAAGAACCTACGCAGCATCTGTATAAACGCGTAAGTGGAAAGATCGGAAACCACATCTAGATGAATCAATCGTGTTACTAAACACGTGATTATGCAACCATAACACTTTTTGATGGAGTCGTCTTCGACCTTAACGCTAAGGGGGCCAAAGTAATCTAGTCCGACATGTTCAAATGGACGTGATCGTAGTACTCGTCGTGAGGGCAAATCACTTTGCTCAGGATATTTGAAAGGGAGGTTGTTGAACCTCTGACATGGAACACAACGACGAACGGCTGCCGTGACTTGTGCTCGTAGTTTAGGGATCCAGTAGCGCTGCCGGATGAGTGCCATGGTATGACTCGTACTAGGATGACCCTTGCTGTGGTAGTCGTCTATAAGCAGTTTTGACAGCCACGATTTCTGCATTACCAGCATAGGGAATTTAGTCTCATCATCTAGTGCGCTCTTACCCAGGCGCCCAAAGCATCGCCATATTCCAAACTCGTCCATCTTTAGATTTAAATGATGTAGCGTTTTACGAATGTCGTTAGTGAGAGTCGTCATTTGATGTTGTTTTACTAGCATTTTCCCCGCCAGAGCTATTTCTTTACCTCTTAGAGAAGAAGTCATATCGTCGTCTTCTTTTAGATCGAAAAGAGCCGACAACGTTGGGAATGACTCATCAGAAGACCCTCTCTTGCTTTTTACTCGATTTGCCAGAACTCGAATGAATCTCATCACGTATGCTACTACTCGCTTAACCTTTTTGAGGGTCTGTCCACGCATTGATTGGAAGAACTCTGGATCCATCTCACTTACTCTGATAGCATTGTTAACAGTAAGCGGGTCCATGCTAGAAGAATCAATCTCACCTTCCTCGAAGGTAGTTTCAATCATGATGGCCTTAAGAAACTCGTCCCAGTTAGCGAAGGGCACGCGAATAAAGTCAGGGCCCGTCCACCAAAAATGATTGACCAACTCGTGCTTATCTAACCCTCTCGTAGCGCAATCCGCTGGGTTGCACTGCGATGAGATATGACCGAATTGGACGCGGTAACCTGAACATTTAATCTTGCTAACTATCTGTTGGATTTCGTTAACGCGATTTTTTATGAAAGGTCCAGCGTCGTGCCGTATTTTCGATTTGACCCAATTTAGTACGATTTCGGAGTCAGTTAAGACAAGTACTCGAGCGATAGTAACTACCGACTGTAACTGAGTAATAACTGAGTTCGTCAAGCGCATTGCTAGGGTCAGCGCGTTCAGCTCTAACTTTGGTATTGTAACCTTCGAATTGAGAGAGGGTAGTTTTGTTTTGGCCATCAAAAGGTGGGTCTGATCTTCTACTCTTAAATCACACATGCTGCCATTGCCTCACCACTTGCGTCTGCCAAACTGATGAGTGATATCTGACACGAGTTTTGGAGACTAGAAGCGCGAATGGACTTCTAGGAAACACTGATTCGTCAAATGCTGTTTCATTTTCACACGTCGTATTCGGTTAGTGGGTGTCCAGTCCGCGCGGTACCACCGGCACAAGAACCACTACTAATCCCCCAGCCTCCAAGACTAACACAGTTGTCCATAGGGACTGCAAAAAGTCTTTAGCTCACTGTGGAGAAGTGGAAGCATACCATCCCATAGGCGGTCGTATATGACGCTTTTGTACTTGCCACGGTTCGTTTCGTCGTTTTCTGCTGGGTTGGAATCTGCCAGGATATATGCAGGTCGTCTGTTAGTGGATCCCAACAATACCAGTACCTTAGGGAGAGTTCGACGGATTTATCCTTATCTGTATTGGCAGCTCTTAACTCGTGATCGTTAGAAACGAACTCTCTAAGATTAAGTATGAGGTTCGTTAAAGAGTCTTTTGTACGCGAGTACTGTTCAATAGCTCTTCCTTTCGAGTCGATGACAATATAAGGTTATCTACGTAGAGATTCTCTTTGATGCTCTTAACTAAGTCTATCCCTGGCATTGATCAAGGTGAAAGTGAATCGTAGCTGCAGAGAAAGGAGTGATAGGAGCCAAAGGTCACGAGTGAAACGATAGACTTTGTTATTGCCCGGGACGGGGCTCGCTATGATTCGTAACAGAGGAAACGCGTTGCATCCGGTCAACTTCTTGAAGGTGTACGGTAAAACGCCTTCTCTACATCCGCGATAATCGCAATCTCGCGAATCGAAAACGAAGTAGAAGGCCTACAAACTCGGAAGAATAACGGGGTCCTCTGTGTAGAGTATCGTTCAACGAGCATGAATTCCTATAGTGGGCTGATGCATCAAAAACTATTCGTAATTTTGTCGTAGACTTATGAGGAGTAAGGTACTCCCTGATGGGGGTATGTAGTGGAACGCGGCTGCTACTGACCTCTCGTTTTCATCACCTCCTCAATGATGTTTTGCTTCAGCTGGTCCGGGATACTCGTGTACTTGTCAGTAGATCACCGTCCTTGCTCAGTGAAAGCCACGGGTAACCAGGCGTTCGGTACGCGATTGCTCGGTTATCGGGTAGGCGACATATCTTTTCTTTCGGCAGGCGTACGTAATAGCCATCCTCTCGTTTCTCAACCGTTCCTTGAATTGATCCCATACCTTTCTGATCTAGCATCGCTGAACCTTTTCCTCTGACTCCCCGAACTCCTCAGTACCTGCTGTTATCCAGCTCCCAGTACTTTGTCCACAACTCACTTCTTTCGGTTGGCTCTAGATCCTCCGCTACGACATGAACGCTAGTGTCTAAAGACCAACACTTTTCATTTTTCCGAAAGGTGAGCATTTGGAGATGCGGGGGTTGGGTTGGAACTGTGGGGCTGACTGGTAACTAGCTGCCCTATAACGCGTCGGTAACAGGTGAGGCCCAGTGGAAGCTGAATGTGGGACTGACCTTCTCGAATCAGTGACCAGACTTGATCACAGCAAGCAAAATGAGCGTTTTACTTGGCTGTGATTTTGATCTACTCGAAGGGAGATCTCAGAGATCTTATGTAGTCTATATCGTCTTTAAGAATGGCGGAGTCGCTAACGCCTTAGTCAGAATCTTATCGGATGTAAACATTAGCCTAAGGGGTTGCCCGTCCTCATCCCAGGTATCCAACTGAACGCGTCGGCTCGGCTCCTCTTGGATGTTATTTGAGCGAAGGTATGGAGTCTCAGTTTGGTATTCTTACTTCTGGCTAATCCAGGCATCAGCCAGTGAACTGTCAATAAATGACAATTCTGCCCCTGTGTTAACAGAACAGCCACCTTTCTGAGACCTCCAGATGTCGGGTCGAACACGGTCAACTCCCTGTTGGTAAGAATGTACACTCGAGTTTTCGATCCCTTTGTGCGACTGGAGTTCACAAATCGTCGTATTATATTGGTTCCAACGATTGGCCGCTCTCATGTGGCCTCTGTTGTTCACGAATCATCGCAATCTGCTCCACATCATCTCGTGTACAGACTTGGTATACGTTTCGGGTGGGTTTAGGGGCCTGTTGTGCCTTTTTTGCTGTACTGCTTCCCTGGGGATAGTGGCTGGTTGCGGCGCGTTGTTGGGTGACTCATATTTGTGCGAGGGAAGCGCGATTCTGGAACGTTTCTTAAACAGCAGGATGTGTGGTGAGTCTTTGGCATACAAAGCACAATCTTTTCTTACACTCGGGATGTTGCGTGCTTCGGAGATGCGCAGATTAAACACAGTTTATGTTCCCGTAAGTAACGAGAGCGTCCTGTGGGTCTTAATTTATAATCAGCAGCAGGCCTGTGGTTTCCCTGGCAGTACATGCACGCGTTGAAAGGGCGATTTCCTTTCCTTTCTGTACGCTGAGTCGCTTTGAACTCGAGATTTCCTCCGTGAAAGGAAAGCGTTTCTTCACTCGAAATAACCTCTTCCAAAGAAGTTCATTAAGGGTGTTCATTTCGAAACGGATTGTCGGTAGGTAACGCGTGTTTTTTCTCCAAGACTTTACGCTGAAATACCAGAGGAGTTTGGAGAGCACTGCTTAAGAAGCCATTGACTATTTAACGTTTCACCCTTCTGCCTTTAATTGCGAAACTACGACTTGAAGGCTCTTCAAAGAAAGCGCGTTGATCTTCAAAGACGGGATCGTAACTGCTCCTATCAATCCTGTCTATGAGCTTATTTACCAACTCTTCCGAGTTCCCGTATTTGGATGTTAAGAACTCGATAGCCTTAGAGTAGTTTTCAGGGGACACGTGGAACTTTTTGATAGCCGCTAGGGCGTCCCCCTTTAGTGCATTCAGAAGGTAGTTGAATTTATAGAGTTCGGGTAGGGGTTGAGAATGGATATTGGCCTCAAATAAGGACCAGAAATTCTCCCACTCCCAAATATTGCCCTTAAAGGTGGGTACCGGCAATGTTGGGAGCTCCATTCTTCTAGCCCTTGGCGGCATACTCGACTCGTTTTCGTGTAACGCGTTCCCTGTGCTTCGCTGGGGGCGAATGTTAGTACATGAAACGAAAGCCCGAGACCTAGCCTCTAAGAGAACCAAATAATCGATAGCCTTGGCCAGACCCTCTTCTGCCTTTTTGGCATACTCGTCATAATCGTCGTATTCCTTTTTGGATGGCTCCTGCAGCGCATCTAAGGTTGTGGCGTAATCCCCAAGAAGACTCTCGATGCGTGAGGTGCAAACTCGAATTGCCCCTATGCCTTCTTCTAGGCGTCTGTGAGCATCTTGATAATCGATTGGGGATAGGTCTTCCGTAACGCGAAGGGACTCTAACTCTTCCTCTTTAAAACGCTGCACGACTGTATCTAGTTTGTTAGTAGTCTGTGTTAGTTGGCGTTTATAAGAAATTAACTGAACCGCCATTGCGTGGGAGTGTAACCTTTATATGACCTACGAGACTTATTGCCCTACGTACAGTATCCAAAATTTGCGACACTGGTTTGCGGCAAGAAATGAAAGCCACGCGGTTGAAGATGGTTAGTAGAATCGAATCGTGATTCCAAAAGGGTGTGAGTTGAAACTCGTTTCTCAAAAACTCACTGACACAGCCTGGGTTCGTAGTTGTCCTGATGCACCATAACGCGGCGCGTTGCTAGGCAGAATACTCGAGTGATTGGCGCGAACTGCGGTCGGTTGAACACTCCGTGAGAATACTAGTCACCTTAGACGACTGCTACGAAGCTTTATTAATGAATACAGCGAAGACTATGCGGGACTAGTTGACGATTGTCCAGTCGATGATAACCCAATCCACCGTCAGACGAATTCGGGAGTAGTCCACTACGCGGGAACGTTCCAAGAGCAAAAGAGCCCCGATTCCGTGGGCGAGTGCCTTTTATCCATCGCGCTGGAATCTTGTTCATCTTCGCAGCTTTCTAGAAGAAAACAATCTGCCATATCTCTTAATCTAAGCACTACAGTAACCAAACTTTACAATAAAGAAAGGCATTACTTTTGGTCGACTATCGTCGACAAGAAGTCTAAGCAGAGAGAGCATAGCAGATCAACATTCCGACGCAGTCAAAATATCGAGCGGTGGGCAGAGTGTGTCGCCGCAGGTGGAGCGTGTCAAAGTTCTTAGAGCATAGCGTCTAAATAACGGTTTTCGAAGTAGGGAAGTGACGCGACCCATACGCTTGCGTGCCTAGCGCTTCTAGCCATGGCTCACTGAGTGGGTCTGAGACCGAACTTTGCCTTTAAATTAACTTTCGAAGAATATCACCCATGGTTGGAGAGAGAATAATTTGAATTTTCCAAATCAAATCACCGCGGCACAGAAGCTCGAGTTGAAGGAAGTTATGGCCTTAAAAAGAGGGGTGTAAAAAATGTATTGCAATTGAAGAACGTGAAGATTTCAGTATTTCAATTGGAGCGATAATTTTTTCTGACTTTTCATAAGTTTTTATCAGGTAATATTGTCAATATTCCGGTCATTGGTTCAGTTTATTTCATCTTCTAGTCTGGTAACCTTTTGGAGTACACGGATATCTTTGAATGCATCTCATTTTTTCGTGTTATAGCAGCGATGAATATCTGTCGTGGATTTTGCTAGAGTTCTATCTTTTATGATTTACGTAGAAAGAAGTATTGATGGTAAACACTAACTCTACACAAGTGTCACATACGGGGGGTCGTATCAAATCACCCACGAAGGGGGGGGGTCGTAAAAAAATTTCAAAGAGTAACAACGATAGGGTTGACTCTGCTTCTGACCTTCTCTCCTTCGTCCGCAAATTTTCCGCCTTCGTCAACCAAGTGCCCACTCTTTCCGATCACGGACTGCTTCTGGACCTATTTATAAATCCCATGGTCTACTCCGCCTAATTCTTTGCATGCCCCACCCATGTTTTTCTTCCTCGCCAACCTCTTCCCACTTTTTACCCGTTCTCTGAATTGTTTCTGAGCCTACTTTTTGCGGCGAAACCTGCTTTTTTGGTGTATCATCCGAACACCAATAGAAATTCACTTCTCCTTCGCCCCATTCTCTCGTGGTTTCCAGGACTACTTGGAGCTAAAATACAAAGTTTTGTGGAGAACTCCGTCCACTTTGGTCATGCCCCGCCCACCAATAGCAGTTGGACTCCACTCCTTCACCCACCTCTACCCACCTTTTTCTCGGACTGAGGGACTTCTTGGAACCGAGCTATGAATTTCCGTCGCAAACTCCGCCTACCTTGGTCATGCCTCGCCCGCCAATAGCAGTTGGACTTCACTCCTCCACCCACCTATTCACTTGTACTCTTCGAAGCGCGCTCCGCCCATTGGTGGCGGACCTCCGCCCGAGTTGTATGCTGGGAGCACCTTAGACATCGCTCCCCTACATTAATTCGTTTTCTGCTCTTTAGGCTTTCTCCCAATCGAGTTATGAAATTTTTCATAAAGCACTGCTTTTTTGGGGAACGCCCCCCCCCCACCAGGGGTGGGTCTTCCTAATTCGGTCTGACTTACCAATGCACACCTTTACCCAGTTTTATCCGCCAGTTTCGAGGCTGTTTTGGAATAGTATCTAAAATCTCGATTGTCAGTACAGTTCATTTCGATGCACGCCGCGCCCACTGTGGGCGGAGCTCCGCTTAGCTGATGTGTGTTTTATTCGCGAGACATCCCACACCTGACCCGGTCTCTCCTGACGGATGCTCAGGAGCTGGGGAATTTCGTGACAGACGTACAGGCGACAGACAGACGAAGCGCTTTATAATAAGTAGGATAGGAGCATAATGACAGATAAACACGAAATATTAGGTACCGGATATCTTAGTGTCGCTTTTCTAAGTACAGGAAGTTTTGGGGCCGATTACTATGGTGAATCAATATCTCAGAAAGTCCTTTTTGCTCACTAATACTGCGAATATGTTGCTTATTGTTTTCTATTGTTGGTTCACAATTTAACTTCCCCCAATTTTTATAGTTTTTTTTTTGAAAATTTCTGGGTCCAGTGTGCAAATTCGCATGTGTCTACCAAATGCTTCAAAATTCTTGCTAAGAGCTACAACTTCTGCCCACCAAACCAACATTACATTTGTTGGAGGGAATAATATCATTTAAAATGCTCATTTTTCTCAAAAGACTGAAGTCTTTGAAGTGATGCCCGCAGTGGTCTTCAAAAAGTTAAATCAGCCGAATCGCGGCTGCACCAGTCTTGTGCCGAAATGGTAGAACACCTTAGTAGTGACTGATCGATGAAGTTGATTACGCAAGAAATCCTAATAAACGTGCTCAGCTACCACTCACGTGTGCTCAAAAAGGGTGCGTTTTTGACCCTATGTGGCAAGAAATACTCCGGTAAAAATTGTCCAGTGTAGCTGGTAAGTCATAACTTTTCCACCATACAGTGCAGACCCTACTCTAACTAACTGTATACTTCTTTTTCCAGGCCTAACTTTTTAGCAAGTGAGAGGGATAATTTGTCGAATGATGTCGGAACCGACCTACCTCTCTTTATCGACTTAAAAAATTCCTAGCTTCGATCGTACGAGGTTTCCACTCATACTAACAAATGGGGAATTGCTAATGAGTCATTCGATGAATATACTGTTTCATTCCCCGGATTCTGAATTAAAATATTGGTGGTCCCAACATCGTGGTGAAAAAAACGACGTTGAGATATCCGGTACCTAATAAGTGCACACTGCTGGCATATGAGACGCAAATTTTGGTAAGGAAAGCATCAGAGGTGTTATGGATTCGCTGAAGTCCAAGAATAAAATTTGACAAAAGAAATTTGTATTGAAATTTGTATAGAAATTTGAGATGAATTCCTTCAATAACGAATGGCCTCCTTTAGTACACAAATTTCGTGATTATTATTTTCTTTCATTCTCATTCACCAGCTGCTGCTGTAGGGTTACTTTTCAGGTCTGTCTTCAAAAGAGGATCCCGATAAAGTCGGAGATCGAAGAAGGCGAAATATACCTAGTGTAAGGGCAGGTGGGCGTCCTTGGGTGCGGGACAGTGCACGCTTCAGAGCGAAGAGTGTTACCAGCGGCCTAGCAGTGTTATACCGGCAAGGCTCGCTCTGCTGGCCGCTCACCGACTGGCACTCCCCGCGGTCAGATTCTAGCGGCGGACTCTAGATTTTGGCAGAGACGTAGAGCCGAACTGAAAACATAACATCAGCGCCAACGATATTCGCTCCGATGCGGAAATGAACGAGCAAAACGATGTCCCATTCCTTGGGCTCTCGGCCATGTTCTTGATTCCTTGTTCATATTTGCATCGCTGACCCCTCCACCTTGATTTCTAATGGATTGCTCATCATAATCTTCGCATTTTTGTGGGCTACTGTACAAGAAGACCAAAGTGGTATGAGCGTCCTTCATCAGTCTCTCTTTTAATGTGATTGCATATTATAGGTTTTCGGAAAGCAGTCCTCTTCAAGCAGGCTAAGACGGGCCAGTATTTCTCATGGAGCAGAGGATCATCAACCGGCAACTACAGAACTTCGTCGGATCTGCTCAGATTCGGTTATAGGCCTCAAGTCTACAGGGTGAGTAAGATATTCTTGTGCAACTGCTTGTTTGACTGGAGAATAATTCTGCAGCTGTTAACGATGTTGCACACTGGCTAGTTTAGTGCTACATTGTAGAATCAACTTAGAACTAAAGTTATCTGGTGCGATACATGCTCTGACACCTCCGGTTCGAGATAACTCACCAATGGAATTAATTAGAGCGCGTCGGTCAGTGTAGCTGCTTGCCTAAAACAAAAACAATTAATTTTCAATTATATCAACGCTTCTTGGGTTAGCAGTTCGGGTGTAATTTTCAGTTGCTTTTTGCTTTTGTTTTTCATATGACTGTGTTTCACGCAGATGGTAGAGGTCAATTGCTTGCAGATTTCAACTACTAGCCACTCCTTCGTCCTCAACATTACTGAGCAGAGTGCTGTTTGAGCAAACACGTTCAAAACTAATTGGGCGGCTGTCGAGAAGCCACGATAATCTTATGAGAGAAGTGTGTTTCACTACTTTACAACTTGCTAGATTGACTTCGCACACCAACCCTTTCGTCAAATAGGGTATAAGCGACATCGATCAGGGCAGCGGAAATTTCAAACCTTGGCTCATCCCATACCTGTGCATACTTTGCCTACTGTGAGGAATCAGTTCATCGTCTTCCGCTAGTATCTCCGGTTTTTTCTCTGGTGTTAGACAGTTTTCGACCAATAGTGCGAATTTTGAAACTTAGCCCCGCTCCTATCAGTATATGCCTTGCCTAGCAGCAGCGCACTAGTCCTCTGCTTCGCTACCCTAAATCCACTTTTTTCCTCCCTGCGGATGTTTTTGGAACGAATTATGAGAATAAGAAATCTGCTTTGAAGGAGCGCGTTCACACGAAGCACGAAAAGTTGTTTACCTCTCCAAAAACTTCACCATCATTCCATCAAAGGAAAAATCCCTGCTAAATCACCCTCGTCCTTAAAAAGAGAGGAGATGCCGTCATAGTATGCTATTTCATAACTAGTACGTCGTTTTTTGCCCTTTAGGGGGCAAAAAGCGACGTACTAGTTATGAAATAGCATACTATGACGGCATCTCCTCTTCCTCTATTTCCTTTGAAAGGCTTATCAAGTCTTAGCGCTACGCAGAGCATGCTTCTCAACCTATACATCCACCTTTTGGTTAACAGAAGCCTTGTGACCGCCTTAGCCAGCTGCGTGTTGATTGACGGGGAAGAGATAAGCTCACCGCGGCGCGGACGCGAGCGCGTGCAGGTGACGTCACAACTGCGACAAAACGGCAACGAGAGGGCGGGGTAGGAGTGTTGCTGTCACTTCGTTTGGCTGATAGAAGGGATACTAGCATTCACTAATTGATGCAGTCAATAGTACCGTGAGCAAAGAGGTTGTATTGTGTGTGGGTACAATTTTAGCCGTCGAAAATTAGGAATATTTTTGCAAATTCGAGGGAATTACGGTTTCGCATTTAAAACCCAACGAGTGCGCAATTAGGTCGAAGTTGATTACTTTATGTTCATTCTTCGTTATTACTTCTACTCACTGCACAGTGAAGTCAGAATCGATAGTGTCTAATACGTATTGTTCAAAGTAATGGCGCCTGTCTTGCCCAATCCCTCCCCGCTGCTGTGACGTCAAATTGACGTCACCTGCACTCACTCGCATCCGCGCCGCCGGTGAGCTATTCCATGGAGCCGTTGATTGATTCTAGGCGTTGGCCTTGGAGCAGCTTATCTGCTATTGAAATTTAGAATTTACATGATTATAACTTTCTCCAAAGTGAACGAATTATCAATCTGAAAGCAGATTTGAAGTTTCTCAACGAGATCTTTCTATCTTGCGTTGAAGTCACGAAAACAATGAGAAATAAATAATTCAGATTGATTAACGAGGAAAATTCATGATGAGTGCGAGTTTTTATATTTTCCAAAGCCATAACTTCCTTCAAAGCCGTTAAATTTTGAAAGTTAATATGGTATGCGAAACTAGAAGATTTGCCCTATTCAACGGTAATTAGAGCTGCTTATGTCCGGTATTCGAAAACGGCCACATTGAGGATTTTAACTCGAAAAATGGCCACATTGAGGATTTGTGCACAAGAACCGACCGCCTTAAGGTACTTTTTCGCAACACTGACTTTCTTTCGACGACTATAGCTCCTTCCAGGGGCAGCTATGTGCAAGCGTGGGAGCAGATTCGGAATCCACGTCTTTTCTTCCTCCAAAATGTGTAAACTGTTTAGCGGTTCGCAACTTTTACAATTACATGCTGACGAAGATTTCGCTGAAGTCTACACTTCTTGTTGCATAGTGGATTCCTCCCTGCAATTTCGCTCGGACCCTTTCAGAATCCTCTTGATTTTTCCTGAATTGGGATTTTCTCTTCATAGAGCCGTAGTTGAAGCGCGCGCAATGACTGGGCTCAATCTGGGACGCGCCGTGTGCTTTACATCCCTTCATGTTGGTGGACTCATTTGAATGATAAAATATCCTTGTTGATCCAATAATAATATTTGAATGGTAAAATATCCATATAGATCTAATAATAATCTAACTTCGGGACAAACACATATACAAAATGAAAAGAAAAGACATGCGAATTTCGGATTCTTTCACCTTGTCGTAATGAATCACTGATGTAGCTAAGAATGACCACGCGGACCCCTTCGAAGCGCAAAAATTTTATGTGAGCGGAATGTAAAGGCTTCTTGCCCTCGGTATTGCTGCCACGCGGATAGTATTGAATAACAAATATGCGCAATTTAGATTTATTAGCACGGTAAACTCGAAGCGAATAGCGTAGCCGAACTAGACGATATGCTGCAGGTGATCCTGACGAGCCGATCTGACGACGGTCGAACTAAGAAGCGCTGGACTGTATGATTCATGGCGCATTATATAGGCGAACACAGCTGCGAATTCCTCGTCCACCTGCAGTCGTCTTCTTCTACAAAAGCGAAAGAAGCGAAGCTGAAAGCGAACCACATAAAAACTCAAAGTCATGTCAAATTGGAGTATTGATTAATTATTAAATAAAATAAAGGTACAAAAATCGCGTTTACCCGCGATACGGAATAACATTGTTATTGGAAATCCTTTGGCGAAGCTTGCACAGCATTGATCACATCCTTGGTGTTTGTCCTCCAAGACTGATGATCCTACTGCCGATCCGGTCTGACCCTTCCTCCCAGCGGGCCAGTACGACTCTCCCCCTGTCATCTGTTGGGGATTCCTCAACGCACGCTTGACCCTGCCTCTGAGACTGTCGAGGTGGGCAACTTCAAGTAAGTGGCGATCTTTGATTGTCACGAGTGATCCTTTTCATGATTTGAGTATGAAGCCTGCAAGGCATAGGGTACGTGAGCTTACTGTTTCGAAGCCGCTTTACAGAATGAAGTCACTCGGCGCTCGATGCTGCTAGCGAAATTGAGGCGAAAATCAAGCAGCTCTACCTTGCTGGGCAAGCCAATTGATGACGGTAGCCTCGATAACGATCAGGTCATTCTTTTTATCGACTTTCGTCCTTTAAAAATGTGATGCGGATGATTGCGAGATTCATAGTTGGGGGACATGTACTACAGACCAGTGGTACGATCCCCTTTTGAAAAAAATGCTCACAGCCCTATTGGGCGTTGCTTCAGTACGTTGTTATAGGGCAACTAATTAATTCAGCGACCATTCAAAACTTGAGGATATCTTAGGACTTCTCGACATATCAGAGATTTTTTTTTGCGAAAAGAATTCTTTTTTCTTCAGTAGATGTGCTGCGTTTGGCTGCGTCGTTTTTCTCATTTGAAGCGCGATTCGAAATTATTGCAGACTCCAGTCCCAGAGCAAGCTCCGGTACACCACATAACACAGAGGTCGGTGTCGTATGTGGTGGGTGCAGTCGCAGCGACCGATAACAACGTCGTTGGTCCCCATAAAGAAATCGACTGCGAAGTAGAGTTCAAGAACATCTGCAATGCACATAAAGGGAAACTGTCTTCTATTTTCGACCGCCTCGGTTTGGATTGGACCGATGCGAAAGCTTCAAGTGACTTGAAGAGGGATGTAGGGTTTGCGTTGAAGAATGGTAAGTGAAGAATAAATTTCCTAGCATTCTCCGTTTATTAAGGCCATTCGTTATTTGTGAATTCAAGAACGAAATGGCGAATCATCAGCGTCTAACTTCATGCGGGCTTGTTCTTCCGACAATCGCGACTCCTTCGTAAGCAGAAAAGTTGATAATGGCCATAGAATTAAGGTTAGTTGTTTGGTTTTTTCGAGTTAATGGTACTCGTGATTGAAGTATCAATGGCTTGTTTCCAAATGGCTTGAAGAAATCCTTCTCCAAAAAATCATGATTCTATTCCTATATTTCACTGGCTTGGAACCCATCGATCATGATAAAAACGAAAAAAAAACAACATTGTATTTGTTTTGGTAAAAAATTCGAAAAACCAAAAGAGGTGCTACGCATACAAAGTTCCGCCGAACATTCGTCACAAATGCCCGTGACGGGAATGCTTCCACTCAGTTCTCGGAGTGCCGTCACTAGAAACTTTTTGGCCTTTTGACTTTTTGCATTAACATCTCACGCTCTACTACATTCTATTCCATCAATCAATTTGTCTCCACTCTCCAAAGTCGCACGCTTCAACCCTATTCTTTCATGGCGTCGCCTGATATGTAGCCACCTCAAGGCGGACTTCTTTCCATTCCCCGTCTTCGGCTCCGCCCCACTTATCATCCATTGTTAGAGTGTGGTTTTTATAAGTTTGCTTCCCTTCGGAAACCGGATCTTTGATGCAATTTTCCGGGAAGAATTTTTTTTAATAAATATGGGGTAGTCTTCAAAAAAATCTTTTCCGCTGAAGTGCTTCTAAGGTTTCTTTGTTGGAAGGTTCCCACAAAGGCTCATTGGTATTTTGCTTGGAGTTCACATTCTATCGATGTTAATGCCAAGTTTTAGCTTCAACATAAAATTCGTTCATTTGACTTTGCTCCCGTAGGATACAGCGGAATATTGTGTCTCGTAGAAGATCATGCTGCCCGATCCAAGCTCGTTTTCGCTCCAGTACGTGACCTTCTATGATTTCCTTCCGTTTTGGTCGGTTTGCAATCGAGCTTTCTCAGTTGTAGTTTATTGCTCCTGATGAAGGATTCTCAATCAAGCCAGAACTTGTGGAGGTGTTTGAAGAGATTCGAATGTGGGAAACCTTTGACGTAAGTCATCGAACGATGCCTTCAATATATTTTCAGTAGTTTCCTTTTTCAGTCCATTCCGTATAATCTGTATCAGACCATGAAGTCACGCCTTCACAATGGCATGGACAAGATAGCTGATCGGAAAACATTTTTGTGTAAGTTTGAAGAGTAAAAAAATGTGTTCATATTCAGAATATAGGTGAAAGCTAAACAGTTAAGCAATTTTTCACGGATTGGCCCAACAAATACCTAAGCGGTGGATGCAATGGATACTGAGCTCCGCACGAAAGCAACTGTCTTATCGAGGTAATTTATACGCATCGTGGTCTACTTATGTGATCAGAATGGGATGGCTAGGTCTGGGTATACAACATGATCGTGCTGTGGTCTGGCAGAACACACACTCTTGTGTCGAACAGGGTCAACCCTATCGTTGTTACTCTTTGGAACTTTTTTACGACCCCCCCCCTACATGGATTATTTGGTACAACCCCCCTTGTATGTGACACTTGTGTAGAGACAGTGTTTACCATCAATATTTATCTCTACGTAAGTTATCGAAGATGAAACTTCAGCAAAATCCACGAAAGGCATTCATTGCTGCTTCAAAACACGAAAAAACGAGATGCATTCAAAGATATCCGTGCACTCCAAAGGGTTACCAAACTAGGAGATGAAATAAACTGAGCCAGTGACCGGAATATTGACGATATAACCTGATAAAACTTGTGAGAAGTCAGAAAAAATTATCGCTACAATTGAAATGCTGAAATCCTTCACGTTCTTCAATTGCAACACAATTTTTACACCCCTTTTTCTAAGGCTATAACTTCCTTCATATTCGAGCTCTTGCGCCGAAGTGATTTGATTTAGAAAATTCAAATTATTCTCTCTCCAACCATGTGTAGAAATTCTTCGAAAGTTAATTTAGTAAAAATCTAGTACGTTGTTACTTTTTTCTGTGCAAATGCGACTTTTTAACCTTTAAACGATCATAACTTTGTTCAAAATCATTGCTTTGGGAAGCTGAACACGGTATGACAAACTACAGGATCCAAGCTTTCTAAGGAGCACCTAAACGTTCCTGCAAGATTAGCAGTTCAAAAATTAGTCCCGTTCTTACTTTTTTGGGGGGTTTGCGTTACTATTTTTCTGGAACCGCGACTTTTTTTACCTTCAAATGATCATAACTTCCTTCAAAGTCATTCATTTGGGAAGCTGAACACGGCATGACAAACTACAGGATTTAAACTTTCTTACGAGCACCGAAACGTTCCTGAAAAGTCAGCAGTTCATAAATTAGTCCCGTTCTTACTTTTTTCGAGGGGTATTCTTCAAGCCATTTTCCGGAGCGCGGGTTTTCTCAGGTTTCGCTGCCAGTAACTTCCATGCGCTTGCACTTCATCCCTTGCCTTGGTGCGCGCCACGCCTTGGGCGCCCTTCTAATACGCTGATCCATTTGAAAGCTCATTTAGAAGGAAGCGTAGTTTATAGATGCTCTAGTAATCAGTCATCTTACGAAAACGTAACGTGCTGGCTATTATCCGATATTACCAAGAATCCCACTGCCGGCCACCGAGAGAGTACGACCTCCTCCAAGCTCAACTGAGTACGACCCCCCCCCCTCCGTTGTTAGTCGTAACAACGCAGGGTTGACCCTGGTGTCGAATACAGGCAGTCCACCAATAAAGCTGCGCTGTCTCTTCCCATCGTAATCTCGGATGACTTTATAGGACTTCACCGGAGCGCCCCCCCCCCATTCTATTGCAAATATTTTTTTTCTGTCGAGAATAATATATTCCTTTATTTCTTGTTTGATGGTCTATTTGGCTAATGTGAGTGGTGTGAATTCAGAGTCCCTGGAACTAAGCGATTTTGAGTACACAACCTCAGATGGGGACGAACCGTCGTGTCTTGATAGGACATCAATGAGCAGTGCGGGATGTCTCTATATGCCGAAAATAAACGTGAAAGGGTAGCGTCAAAGTATTTTTACGAGTTTCTGTATTTCTTAACTAGTCTCACTTATTGTAGAATACCTGGTATTCTGCAGTTAAGCACACTGGAAAAGGAAGCAGACGTATCCTGGCAGAGTTGTGATTCTAGTCATTTCACATTTATCAAGGTGCTTTTTTCAATTCACATCGAACCTTTCGCATAAATTTATTCCTCTAAAGATAGCACGATCGCCGGTTCGCCGAATGATATTGGATCCGTTCTGTCTGCCTGTGACCGAGGACAGGATAGTGTCAGATGAGAAGTTTGCGGCCAGTACAGATATACTGAAACAGATACCAATAATATTTTTGTGTCTCATAAATGGTGATACGATACGATTTATTGAGGTAACTTCCTTTCTCTTCGGCTGCAATTTACTGTTTTTATCTGCTTTTTCCATTTAAGTACACTTTGTTCATACGACACAAACTTGGGAAGCCTGTTTTTACGAACAATCCATGCTCGTTCTTGAATGCTTTCTACTTCTTCAGCACTATTGTGTCAAGGTTGTTATAAACTCTTTTGTTCTTCCAAACATCTCCTGAAGCGAGAGATTACGATAGGTTTGGGTTGGGTTCATAGTGGAAGTGGAGAGGCTGAATAATGTCCTAGTGGCGAAGAAAGCAAAGAGATTCGTCAAAAATACGCAAAGTGGGACCACTTTCTCTGGTTGTCGTCCGGTAATGGACGAACTAGCGACTAATTAAGACTTTGCCCATGTCGTAACGATGGCAATTACCATGCCAGCATACATAATGTTTTTTTTATAACGCTCTATGCGAAAGTTATAGGATATGCGCTCAAAGTGGAATACCTTATGAGAATGATAGTCGAACAACGATGCTGCTGAGAGGCGGAGCACAGGCGGTAGCGGAGCTCAAAAATGATTGGCCTTAAGGGCTCTGCAACTAGCGCACCTCTAGCCACGAAAAGGCCACATTTCGGTTCCTTCGGCCCCTGGCTACTGCTCACTTGTGCATGTTCTTCCATACTGCACACAGACTTTATCGTAATCTCTTGCTTTAAATGGAGTTCGTTAATCGATAACTTGTATAGGTGACAACACATTAAAATCCAGATAACAATTTTAGGTATGTGAATAAGATTTCCTGTGCAACGAATAAGTCCACGCCCAACTATGTGGCGCGTCGCCTTCGTCTTATAGATAAGATTGAAAATTTCGTAAAGGAGAACAGTGGTGAGTGATCAAGCATATTTTCATAGTGGCTGTCTGAGTAGCGGTAGGGACCCATGTTGCGGAGTTGCTAGGGCTTCGCTTCGCGCTCGACTCCTCTTGTTGCGTTGCTTTCGCCGCACCTCCGCAACTTGGCCATCCTGGCCGATCCAAGAACGCCTATATTGTTCAGCGCTGCATGTGTTTTAAATTTCGTTCCTCGCAGGTATAAGCAGTAGCGGATTCACGAATATTCCAATTTTCAGAATCGCCTCTGTTAAATCCGCTTTTCATTCCGATGTTGTTACTCTTGCATGGCGAATTAACAGCTACTGATCCAGAGAAATTTACAAAAGTTGTATTAGAGAGCGCGGTTAGTTGATACTCGAGCTTGATTGATAGAAGTTTTTTTTAGTTGTTTTTTATCGTTGTTCAGGCGATGCCCCTTGGTCTCAAAATTGCATGGTGTGTAAACCTCTTGAGCTCGCCTAAGATGAAGGAAGCCTTCCATTTTCTATTTCAGCAGGTGGACTTCTTATTTGACTAAATTTTTTTTTACTTTTGTTCAGTCTGTATTTTCAGAGCGTTGGTATGGATCGTTTACAGTTCGTTGGGCTTGGTCGCCATCCGGACTCACTGCATGTTCTATCTGAGTGAGTGGTTCGTAGGGGGAACATGTGTTCTTCCAATCTTAAAAAAAAGCTTCTTTACAGATTTCTGTATGCAACCCAGGATTGTCAGGTGTTCTCCCATCTTGTCGTTGCTGGCGGGTGTTTAGAAGAGGACAATCCTGTAGTTGACGAGGTATAGCTTCATGTCGATCCCCGGTTCTTTAACCTGTATTTAATAGGGGCCTATCTCGTAGAACTCTTTCAGATACGACTCGAAAAAGTTAGGTATTCAAATTTTGCCGATGTCGCGGTTACTGAATTAATTTGCTGCTAAGGAGCGCGGCATTGGCCTGGCTCAGTGATAGGTGGACGGCGCCGGATCTGTGCTATATGGCGCAGAAGGTACCACGTCCTAGCCTAACTCCCCGATTTTTTGTAGCGTATTTTTCGCGACATGTGTTTCTGCGTTATAGTGCCATAGTTTCACAATGGCCAGATTTCCCAATTGACGACGCAGCGCTTAGCCAACGCGGGCTGACTGTTGTGTGTAGGGTTCAGCTGTAACTGTGTGACCAACAAGCAGCACTCATAGTGGACCAGTCATATGTATAGTGTTTCGTCATAAACAAGCACGATGTTTTCCGCGGGTATCCAGTTCCGAAGCCATTCTCACAAGGGAAGGATACCAAGTCGAAGTGGCCGTCCGTAATGAAACCTACACCAGAGATGTATTTTCGGACGCTGATCTCGAATCCACTTTCCAAATCTGCGAAACGATTCTCTGAAAAAAGTTACGGGGGTTGTTTCAAATGAATGTTCATTACAAGAGGCGCCTTCAATGGAGAGCTGTCAGCGACGTCCTGGCCGAGTGGTAGTGTCTCATGGTGGTGAGACTATGGTTCTTGTCTTGGTGAAGTCCAAATTTTTGCTTCTATCAATTATGCCTTTTTCAGCCCAAAAGAACCTTTAGTGTGGAAATCAACACAATGTACAAAGCAGTCACTTGTTTGGGGCTCACTTCAAGCATATCGCTTTCTTCACGAAGTTTTCGATCAATTATTCTACAGGTGTCGAGGTGCATTCGACAATCAGATTGTCAAGCACGGCTTCTCTCAAGATTGGCGTGAAGCTGTCTATCACCTTCTGCTCCATCCTGGATGGGCTACGCTCAATGTCACAAGAACCAAAGTTCTTCAGTAAGTGTGACACCACAACTTGGGGACAGAACATATTCAGTGTAAGACACAATTGATTTGATAGTGGTATCTCTACGGCTCATACTACTCATAGTTCTCACCGGAAATGACGTCATCTCTGGTGACGTGGCAACATCTCGACACCTGTAGAATAATTGATCGAAAACTTCGTGAAGAAAGCGATTTATGCTTGAAGTGAGCCCCCAAACAAGTGACTGCTTTGTACATTGTGTTAATTTCCACACTAAAGGTTCTTTTCGGCTGAAAACAGGCAATTGATAAAAGCAAAAATCTGGACTTCACCCAGAACCGAACCATAGTCTCACCAGCATGAGGCGCCACCGCTACCACTCGGCCAGGACGTCGCTGACGGCCCTCCATTGAAGGCGCCTCTTGTAATGAACATTTATTTGAAACAACCCCGTAACTTTTTTTAGATAATCGTTTCGCAGATTTGGAAAGTGGATTTGAGATCAGCGTCCGAAAATACATCTCTGAGTATAGGTTTCGTTACGGACGGCCACTTCGACTTGGTATCCTTCCCTTGTCAGATCTCCATCTGCGTTTCAAGGACGTCACAATGGTCTTTGGTACCTGACGACCTCGTTGGACTCGTATCGTGAACCATGATTCCGTGGAAAATCTTTTGATTCGTTGGTGTGGAAGAATACGTAACATTTTGACAAATAAGAATGTGTCTTAACTTTTCAGTTGGGCTCATTCGGTTTGGTTTTGCAACCTGTAATTATTTCCGTTTTGACTGTTCTTATTCCAGCCTGTAATTATTTCCCCAGTTTTGAGGCAGGGATAGCCGAGTGGTTAAGAGGTTAGGCTCATGTCTGCAAACCGCGAGTTCGATCCGTGCCGAGGTCAACCATGCCTTGCAAATATTGCGAAGATGGTTCTACTACCAGCGTCTGGCCCAGGTTGACAGGCCGACTGATGAACACTCCTCACACCAATCATGACTGAAAGTCGCAAAAGTATCAGTGTTAGTGGTGCTAGGACGTAACCAGGAAGTGGCGCGCAGAACCCTCGTCCGAGTTCTGTGGATTGGGGAAGGTGTCAAGCTCTACTACAGTGGAGGAGACACCAAGCGGAATGGCGTGGCCATAGCGGTAGCGAAGTCGCTCAAGGACTATGTCTTCGCTCTGAACAGGATCAGCGATTGGATCATGGCTGTGAGGATAGACACGAAGAAGAAGTACTGGACCATACTTTCCGTGTACGCACCACAAGCCGGATGCCCCGAGAATGAGAAGGACGGGCTCTATCCAAGCGTGGACTAGGCCATAAAATCGGTTCCGGAAGGTTTACCTCACCATAGCAGGTGACCTTAATGGTCACGTCGGCAGTGGCAGTAGAGACCTAGAAAGGGTCCACGGAGGCAGGGGGATAGGAACGAAGCGCTGAGGGAGAGAGGGTTCTGGATCTGGACACACGCCTTGCTAGTCTGCAGCACGTTCTTCGCGAAAAGGGAGACTCAGAAAGTAACGTACGGCAGTGGAGTAAGGCAAACGGAAATCGATCATGTGCTGGTAAGATGATCATCACTCAAAACTGTGAAGGATATTAAAGTACTCCCCGACGAAGAACTGGCTTCCAGCACAAGCCCTCCTGGCAGACATCACCATAAGCCTCCAAAAGAGGGCTAGGTTAAGAAATGAGCGGAGAATTCGATGGTGGAAGCTGCACCGAAGCCGGCTGAGGTCAAGAGGAGGTGAAAAGCACTACAGTGCACTACTGAATGAGGAGTCCCCTCACAAAGGTAACTCGCAAGCAGAGGCAACGGCCGGCCCCATCTCGTTGTGGACAGAGGGCGAGGTCCGCGGTGAAGTAGGAAAGACGAAGGTTGGGAAAGCAGTGGGTCCAGATGGGGTGCCAGTCGAGGCGTGGAAGGCGCTCGGAGAGTACGGAAGATGGCTCACCCGATTCCTGAACACGGTAACTGCGGAAGGAAGGATGCCGGATGTCTTGGGAACAGGCACTATCGTTTCTTCAAGCAGAAAGCTGACACAATGGACTGCTCCAACTACCGCGGGATCAAGTTAACTGCGCATACCATGAGGTTGTACGAACGGCTCGGGTCGAACTAAGGGAGCCGGTCCCGATCTCCCAGGAGCAGTACGAGTTTATGCCTGGAAGATCCACAACGGGTGCCTCTTCATCGCCAGGCAAGTAATGGAAAAGTATAGAGAGAAGCGCCGACCTTGCTACCTAGCCTTCCTCGACCTAGAAAAGGCGTTCGACGGGCTACCGCGAGCGTGCTGTGGAGGTCGCTCAGGGAACGAAATATGCCAGAACACCTCATCTCTGGTGAGGGACATGTACGAGGGACTAAGGTAACTATACCGTACGGCCTGACAAAAGTGGTAAACGTCACGGTCGGGGTGCACCAGGGATTAGCACTGAGCCCCTTCCTGTTCCTCCTAACGCTAGATGCCATTGTGGACGGCCTCATGGAAGGACCACTAAAGACCACCCTCTCCGCTGACGACATAGCCTTGATAGCGGAGAGCAGAGAAGAACTACAGGCTAAGGTGCAGAAATGGCAGAATTTCCTGGCAGAAGGCGGGCTCTGGCTGAATGTCAAGAAGGCCAAGTTTCTGAGCTCTGAAGAGGGTACAGAGCTGATTGACGGGAGTGGGGAATGCATCGAAAGGGTGGAGGACTTTTGATACATTGGGATCGCTCTAGCTACCGACGGAAGTGTGGATCAAGCAGTCAAGGCATGATTCAACGTGGCCTGAATGAAGTGGAGAAAATTCAGGGGGATCCTCAGCGACCGAAGGTGCTCCAGGACGCTCAAGGGGAAGGTGTACCGGACAGTGGTAAGGCCTGCGATGCTATACGGCAGCGTGTGCTGTCCCCTGAACAAGAATCATGAAAGGCAGCTTCTTTCCGCTGAAATGAGGATTGTGAGATGGGCCTGCGGCTGGACGCGACTGGACAGGGTAGAAACGAAGATTTCAGAGCGGTCATTAAGACTGCTCCTGTCCGCTGAAGGTGAGGGACCAACGACTGCGATGGTATGGGCACGTGCTGAGGAGGCCACAGGATCATCCGATAAGAACAGCACTGGACTCCGAGGCACAAGGCAAGCGGCTGCGAGGAGCCCCAAAGAAGAGGTGGACAGACGTCATCAAGAAGGACCTCACTGAGGTGGGGCTCACGGCAGAAGATGCCCTGGATAGAACAACATGGCGACTGCTGACAAAGACAGCGGATCCTGCGACTGCGCCGGACTAATGCGGGAGGAAAGAAGAAGAAGAATTTGGATTCTGAATGTGGAGGGAAAAGACTTTTTTGCCTCCTCCTGTATTTGAGTGAGCGGGCTTCTCAGAAACATGATCATTACAAGCTAAAATCATAAAGGATTCAGAAATCCATAAAGCAACTTAAATTCAGCTTATATTGACAGTACGCCTTCAGTTAATGTCATATGTTGTCCAGCCCATAAAGTGGCGGATTCGTTTTTGGCGTTTTTTTGATCAATCTATCGACAACTTTGTGTGTTTTTCTGAGATTGTAATTTTCAGAGTGAATCAGACGATTGCTCCAAGTCTGACATCGATATGGAAAGCCTGAAAGGTCCATCTGCTATCGACATCCCGTCTCTATTCACTATGTTTCCCACAAGTCACCTACACGTCACTAGGGATATGTACGCTTTCATGCACTTCCCTGGGTTTTTACCTACCCAATCGCTTTTTGTTTTGTTTTCAGGCCAGATTTCTTGCACCTTGCTCGAGCCGAATTGTGCCGGTACTCCTTCATACTACAACGCATGGAGCGGTTTTGCTTCCGGAGGAAGCTCTTAAATCTAGTGCCACAGATTTATTGGCCGGATTTTAAGACAACAGTGGGTATTGTTTCTGTCAACCCTAGGTACTGATTCATCTTTTGTTGGTTCATCGATATTTTTTGCAGGTTGACATTTCCTGCACATTCTGTGGTTCTAGTTACGAGGCAGCCTTACATAATGCTGAGTCGATGATAAATGATCAGATCTCACAAGTAAGATCGCGGCCGGCTGTCACAAGAACGGGTCCAAGCCGGTCCTCCGGTTCCGTCAGTAGTAACATGGCTTCAATGTCGTTCTCGTTATCATCAGTAGGACAGTCGGACTCGGAATCGAGCACCATGTCGGCAACGCCAACAGCTGAATCCTATTATGATTATAATGGAGTTGACGGTGGCACTGAAGCTGAGGTCTGTGTGAATATAAATCAATACTGCTTCTATTGCAGGGTGAATAACGGTCGAGGATTTCCTCGACCATGGCTCTCCACCATGTGAGAGTAGTGCCGAGGGTGAACATCCGCGCGGAGAGCACAGACGGCACACTCATGGCGAGTTTGAATGTCCGCGCGAGAGATCGTGTCTGACCGGGAAGAGGACCCTCGACGTGTCGTTGAAGGAATCCTCAAGCGATATTCACCCTGTTCTATTGCTTTGTCTTTTGCCTAGTTTTTTTTCTCGTGACGCCGGTTACTTGGCACGATGTCGACGCTGTGGCCAGACAGTGCCACGTCTTTTGGACAGAGTGAGCCAGTGGTAAAAATAATTTCGCACAGATTTTGAACCCCCCAGCGAGCACTTTATGTTACAGTGTCGCAAAGTTCTACAACACTGAACAACTTCTACACATAATGGAAATGAGAAATCTTCTCAAAGCAGCAGTCCCAGTAGGATCCGTGCTTTTGAGACAATGGGGTGAAAAAGATGCCTGCGCTCTAGTCTCAACATGAGAAGTGTCGCTGATTAGGACAGCTCAATTTGGGAAGCCGCTTGAAGTGACTTGAACATGTGTCAACTCCATTGTTTCGCCTTTTCTATTTTTCCGCCCATTTGCTAGCGAGAGAGATCGCATGATTGGTGTGGTGCTTGTGCGATTGCGCGGCTAGTGCGTGGTTCTTGTGCGATGTCGTATAAACTTTCCGCGATTCAAGGAATGCCAACTGCTTTTTGTTTGGTTTTACATGCTTAAATTGTCCAAAAGTTTACCGTGTTTTTTTGTTTGTATTGGCGCATATGTGATTGCAACAGCATTCCTTGCTGGCACGAGCCGCAGTAAATGCTGCTGGAGCAGGTTGGTTCGGACAGTCATCGCCACCCTCCTTATTTCAAGGGGGAAGAGGGGGATTCATTGTTTGAAGCTTCACTGGCAGTTTTCCTTGCTTCCTTTTTCCTTTGCGGCCCACTCACCACCCACAGTTTCATTACTGACCGCTTTTACTCCGCTAATATGAAATAACTGCTTCAATTGTTTCGCCGTTGAACCACTTTAGTTTGTCGTCGGAGGTCCTAGGAGAGATACAGACCGTTTTTTTATTATTAAGTAACCCTTAGACTTGCCATTTCTACTACAGCAAACATTTTTAGCATCTCCAACAGATCTTCTATTACAAATTACTCTCCTGCTCCATGGCAAGAGTACATTTTCCTTTAGATTATTTTTACAATTTTTTTTTAGTATTTTACAACATTTCCCAATTACCGGCTCATCCTGCGAAAAAGAACAATTTGTCAAAATGATGGCAAACTAAAAGGATGATCTATGGTCCTCCTTTTCGAATGCCTATCACCCGTAGCATACCGCATCGAGAAAGCAATTATCCATCGGTGTACTTCCTACCTGGCGGTTATTATAAATAGCCTTAACAAAGATATTCCAAACAATGCCCATCGAAATGCGACATAGACTGCAGACTACCCTGTTCTAAATATCTGGCTTAGGAGTGTGATTGTTGAGTAACCCACATGGGTGCCAGCTTTATTCTGTAAGAAGAAGTAAACAGACGACGTCGTCGGCTCATAAAAAGATCAAGTACCTTGAAGGTGTGAAGTCTATTCTGTATTAGGTTGAGTGATAACTATAATCCGCTTTCGATACGAAAATTCAAACTTTGTGACTTTCCTCACATTCCAAGTTATGCAGTGCTGAATGATCAGAGCTGCCTTTAACTGTCCTCTATCTACATGCATACCAGCGGATGTGGGGTCATCTTGAAGTGCCCTCTTTTCAGAACTTGCCATAGTACGGTTTTTCGTAGAGCTCAGCGAGTGGAGAATTTTATTCAAAGGATCAATGTAGTGATCGATTGTGATGACCGATCACTATTATACTTGCTGTAGGCGCTGCGCTGCACTCATCCGATGGTTGTGGAGAATCTCCACGATCTCTTCATAGGGCTATGTGTTATACCGAATTGCCGTGTCTGAGTCCGCGCTTTTCCTTGCAACGGGAGAATCTGCTGGCGAAAATAGTGAATCGTGAGGACAGCTAGGGCTTTATTTGAACCACATATGTAAGCACTACTGGACTCTGCCCCGCCCGCCAACGGCAGTTGACTCATATCCCTGTGCCAGCCGCTATCCACTTTTCCCGGAATTTCTAGGAGCCGACTTATAGCCCGGAAGCAAACTCCGCCAACTAGACTTTTAGTAGTCTGTAAGAATAAGAGCACGCCTCCGTGGAGAAAGTTACATTGCTGTTTACTTACTAACTTGGATTCTTGATTTATTTGTTGGCCGAACATCAACATCCACGAGCACGCGCTTTTTTCATTTTTGATGATTTGAGCAGCTTCGGGTCGATTGGCCCAGTTCCTTGGATCTTCAGGGAGTCTCTCCATCACGTGGGAGGGTGGCCACGTATGCGGTTAACGTTTCGTGGTTAATAGGACGTAAGTGGCTGGTCCACCTAGCGTTCGTACATCTGACCACGTGACCGGTCTAGCGTTTCTTTGGGTTTCACGTATACATTGCGGTGTCACCGATGCCGTACATTGAGCTCATGTCTGTTCAGCGCAACTTTCAGCTTTTCTGTCCTTGCGGATGATGTTCACAGACTCGACTCCAGTGCTCGTCATGTGCATGTCATCATCATTAGAGACGCTTTGTTCTCTGCCCACGTCTTGGATGCGTAACAGGGTGTGGGCTGCATCGTAAAATCGTGTAGGCCAGCACGTATCCTCTTGTCCGAGATGGCCTGGGCCGCCTCTTTGGTGCTTCCCACTGCCACCCATGCGCATCTCCTTATGATCTCTGCGCTCAAGTTGTGGTCTATGGAGATTGTCGCCAAGGTAGACATAGCATTTGTCCAGTGCAGCGTGATAGGTGATACATTCGCTTATTCGTTATGCTCAGATAAACTGGAGTATGACCTTGGTCTTGCTCCACTTTATCTGTGGCTAGTGGCTCTGCCAACGTTTTCCAACTCCTCCCTCATTTGCTGTAACACTTTTTGACTCTGACTCATGAGGACATGTCGCCTGCGAAGCGCAAGTTGGAAAGCTCCTTATTCTCGATGATGATGCATCTATCGTCTCAATCCAATTGTAGCATCGCGTGGGTTTCGAATAGGGGTCGTATCAACCCTTTTACAGTTTTATTTTGCCCAGCTCTTGCTGGAACATGCGGATGGTAGTGAATGTGTCCGTGTTGAGCTGTTCCAGCACGTTGATGTGGTATGGGTCGACGCATGCATGGCATAGTGCATTCCTTACGCAGTTTAGCTTTACACTGTCAGATGCCTGGTGGTTTTTCTGGTATTTCCGGTCCGGTCAGTCGGCTGCGCGATGATTCGGATATGGTTCGTGCAACAGAAGCCCTCAAGGACCCGGCCTATACTACTGGTTGGTAGCCGCCCAGTTGTCTCTCGAGGCTGTTTAGAGTGATCCTCGTGAACAGCTTGTATGGCTGGGATGGGGCAGTGGTTCATGTCAGGACGCCGACAAAAAGTCCACTGAGATATGATGTAGTCCGTGTGGCTTTCCCCGCTTCACCGAAAGTCGTTTTGTACCATCTCCCGCCTTTCCGCGGAACCACATCCTGTATTGTCTTCGATCGGTAAAGGTCTGTATGGAAACTGACAGCGATCTCCTTCTTCCTCGTTCTCGATACCTGAAGTCTGCCCATAACGTCTCTAACGACCACGGCGACCAGGCGAGAGTTAATTTCCTGAAGACATCATCTTAGGTTCGCTGCGCTAGTTGGGGGAAACTCGCATACTCGGAGCTAAACTTACTACAGAATTGTCCGCCAGGCAATGACAGGGTCATTTTCGAGATTTGATCAGCATGCCATCGCAAAACTGTAGTTGACCTACTGAAATTTAATAAGTTCTCGGCAGTAGAGAAGAATGACGCCGTTTGACGTTACAAAAATAGCCTGGTAGATAATGTGTTAAGTTGTCACCTAACTGCCATGTACTGTATTGTATTGTAATGTGAATTTATAATCTTCCTATTCACTCTTTACTGTAATGTAAGCTGTAACAGGCCATGTAAGGTGTCCTAAGATTATATCATTGTTCTCAGTTTAACAAAGGAGTGTTACCAAGTGGTGTTGAGAACTCTTGCCTTTTTTTTCTCAAATCCGCTAGTTGTCAGATGTTCTCTTCACAAAAGCTCATGAGGTAGCAGTAAATGGGTAAAGGCACAGTTCGAATTTCTGGTCGAAATTTAGTTTTCTACGTCAAATACGCCGTGGCACGCATGCGCTGAGCATGTGCAGAAGCGGCGAGGTGGTTTAACACCTTGACGACAGCGCAGCAACAGGTTTGCCGCGTTTTTCACGCCGCAATGGACATTGTGGCAACCATAGTTGCCACACCCTTTACATTCAGTTTTCTTGAACGCGCCATTTCTTCCGGGGTTTTTTGTGTTCATTTTTAGGCCATACCACAACATAGCCAAGAACCAAGCGGCATATAGAATGATCAAATATTCTTTAGTTTGGCAGAGGTTTTTCGGACCGGACGAAAATATACGTTCAGTTCATTCCTCATTTCCTCTTCATTAACACGAACATGTAGATAAAAAAGATTATTATAAGTGAGTACAAAGCAACTCTTGTGGCAAGATATGTGCTTTTACCGAAACAACCACGTCCAAAATAATTTTGAAATCACTAAAGCAAAAGTAAGTGAAACTTGCCTTTTCAATGTTGTAACACATCATTCGACCGCACTTTCACATGTGTACCTTCCAATAATTTTGACACACTGCATATCAGTGGAAACATTTTGTTGCATCGATGTATTGCTTGTTGTGAGGCGGCGGCGCTCGCAGAACCGCTCTGGTCCCACGCGGCCAAAAATGCCAAAACGCGCGATGTCGTCAACGTGTTAAAGTCAAAACGGAGCAATGACGCCGCCCCAATCGCTTGAGGCTGCTCACCATTCGACGTGACCTTCCAAACAACCATCTGAACACTAGATGTTAAGTTGTTGTTTGGAAGGTGTAGCAGATATTTAATGCATTTCATCTGCCAACTTCAATATCAAAACCTATCTTACAACCATTATCGGGAACGTTGTGATTCACTGTAGCCAGAATCAAGTTTTTATTATTTATTTATTTAATTGTGCTTGAACACCCATGAACAAAGTATGTGAAATTTAAAGTACTTTAACACGTTGACGACAACGCGAGTTTTGGCACTTTTGCCACGTGGGACCACGGCGTTTCTGCGAGCGCGCCGCCTCAGGCTGTTCAAGCAAATTTTGAGTGATAAAAACAAAATAATGATCAATACAAGGCCAGATCAATATATTGTAATGAGCCCAACCTACTCGGAGGTACAGTAGCGGAATTTCTATTGAAAGACATGGAAATACAAATGAAAAGTGATATTCTTAGAACAAGCTGCCATGAACCTTCAAAGGCAATTTTGAGTTGATTTTTAATCAAAACACATATATTGTCATCTCTAAGGTACCGTATCTACTTCTACTACTAAAAATTAACCTTCACATTCATAGGAAGAAAAGTAAACCGAAAAATTTATTAGGCTGAAGATTTCTTCATGTTCAAATACTCCCCAACCTTTTGAACGCGTACGTGACCTATTCTTATGGACCTATTATTGTTTTTTTTTTGTTTTTTTTTTAGGTTCAAGGTCTCCTCCATTCAATAATTACAAGAAACTTCTAGAAGAACCAGGCGTGCGCGAAAAAATTAGTGTAATGGGTGCGGGGGATATATCCCCCGCACGGTCCGACACGGCCTGCAATGCGCGGGATATATATCCCCCGCGTTGTCGTCAATGTGTTAAGTTAAAAATTACAACGATGCTATAAAAATGTCAGTAACAAAACCAGTAAGTAAGCCAATAACCTGAGTTGAGTCCACTAGCCTATCTGCGAGCCACAAGACGAGGCGCATGAGCTTGTCAGCCAAGAGGTTCACAGTGTTTTAGTGTAAAGGAGGAGCGTAAAGGGAATATAGGCACTTGAGTTTGAAAACGGTCTAGGCAGAATCAAGTTTTTATAAGAGGAAGCAAACAAAAAAACACAGATAGAAAAATAGGCTAATTAGAGACAATCAGATTTATTGCTGAGTTTTTGTGGCATTGTCGGTTGTTGGCATGAAGCTAGCAGTTGCTGTAAACACGGTCAAACACGTAATGCTTCCAGCCCCGGTTTGTAAGTAACTAAAGAGGAGGAAGTTATGACTTTGGACTTTCAGGGGTATTTCCTGCTTTTTTCTTCAAGTTCGATTTACTTAACACCCAAGATTTCATATATTAACAGAGGATTTCCTCATTTGATTCCAGAGCTTGCCTTTAAACTGTGATTTTAGATAAAGCGACCTCCGGATAGTGCATGTCCGCAATGCCGCAAATCTTATCCTCGGTGTTCTCTTTGTGGACTGTCTTATGGCACGCCGGTGAATGACTATGATCATCCGGCGCGATCATTTTCGATGATGTTCTCCACTTGCTTGGTAGGTTGTCTTGCCGTCATTCACTTAGCGGTCGCCCTACCTCATATAGATGGCCAACTTAGAATTTTCGGAGGTTCTTTTTTCCCAAAAATATGCGTCCTACTTTCATAGAAGGAAGCTGTGATAGTTCCTCGCCATTTCCATTTGCGAAAGCCATCCTAAGAAACCTTATCATGTGAATCCTGCTACTTTTTGCTGCATGTGTTTCAAGGGTCGATTTAAGTTTGCTTATTTACAGATGTGCAGTCATGGAGGGCATATGAAACACGTGATCTCTTGGTTTGAAAAAGAGGACGAGTGTCCGGTGT